TATATATATATATATATATTTGTCTTTTAAACAACATCACAATTGTTAAGAGTTTGAATCTCAATATTAAATATTTTAAATATAAATTTTGAAATTATTAAAAATACATTTAAAAATGTGAATATTATATTCTTTGTTGGATAACTTACCACTTGATATAATTTTTTTTTTTAAAAAAAACCCATACTATTTTTAATAAAATGAGGTCGTAATTCAGCACCATGCTTGATCTTTTGAAATAGACAGCAAGACTATCCCCCTGCTGATGCGGCGAAGGGATTACTAGCATTTTGCTAATTTTTAATAACCTTTAACTGTTCGGAATCTCCAATCGGTTCCTTCCACTGTCAACGATAATCCCATATAAATTCACAGCAGAAGAAGAAGCAGAGCACAGCTTTTCTGATTTCTCTACAATTTTGTAGCACTAATTTCTATAGACATCCAAAATCAGTGACATTGAAGGGTTACGGGGAAACTCCATGCATGGTGTCACTGGCCGGGAACAGGTAATGTCCCTCTCCATCAAGGTCCCCATTAATTGATACCACCGCACACTTTGACCTGCCTGTGGATTCAGAGCGCAAAGCCACAGTTTTCAAGCTGTTTTCTTTTGCAACCCCCACATGAGAACCTTTCAATTGTCCTTGGTTTCCTTCTTCACCTGCTTCGTCTCCACCTTCACCGCTGCTCCCCTCGTTCCCATCGTCCGGGACAACCTCAATCTAACCAAACAGGACATTGGGAATGCAGTGGTGGCCTCTGTTTCTGGGAGTATTTTCTCCAGGCTTGCAATGGGTGCGGTTTGTGACATGCTGGAGCCACGGTATGGATGTGCCTTTTTAATCATGTTATGTTATCCGCTCCAACAGTGTTCTGCATACCATTCGTGGCCAACACCGGGGGTTATATGGCCGTCCGGTTCATGATTGGATTTTCTCTGGCGACGTCTGTGTCGTGCCAGTACTGAATGAGTACGATGTTTAACAGCAAGATTACTGGGCTTGTTAATGGGACTGCTGCAGGGTGGGGTAACATGGGTGGAGCCGTGGAGGTGCTACTCAAATTTTTATGCCTTTGGTTTATGACATTATCCGGCAAGCCGGAGCAACTCCGTTCACTGCCTCGAGGATTGCCTTCTTCATTCCGGGTTGGTTGCATGTCAACATGGGGAATTTGGTCTTGACTCTTGGTCAAGACTTGCCAGATGGAAATCGTAGTACCTTGCAGAGAAAGGGTGACGTTGCCATCGACAAATTCTCCAAGGTAACTGAAATCCTAAAATCTTAAAGGCAAAGTTAAAATGTTTTATCACTTTAAATATTGAATTTGGCTTTATAGAGTGGGATGAAAACAGTATAATTTGTCATCTATTTTATTAAAGTTGAGAAATCTTGATCCTATTTTCTCTTGTATTTCTAAAAAATTGTAGTTGTTCATAAAATAAATAAATAAATAAAACACTTTAAATTTCAAAATTTTTAGAAAATTATTTAAGTATTTTTTATGCCTTTTTATATGTTAATTTATTAAATATATTTTAATTTTTAAGACCGTGTTAATTTTTTCAATTATTATTATTTTTTAAAGGTTAAAACCTCAATTTTGTCTCTTAACTATTATACAAACTTCTAATTTGGTTCACGAACTAAAAAAATCTCTGATTTGATCTATACTATTTACCATTTTAACCCCAACCTAGTCATTTCGTTAAAAATTAACTTACGTATCCCTAAACCTGACGAAAAAAGATGACAGCATGGCAAAAAAAAAACAATGACATGGCAAGAAAAAACCTTAAAATATTTCCTTTTCCCTTTTTTTTTTTTTTCCTTCCTTTGATTTTCCTTTTTTCCCTTTCATCTTCCTCTTCCTCTTCCTTTCCTTTCGCCTTCTGCAAACCCTAACACCTTCTAATATTAAATCAAAAAATAACACAAACCCAAAATCTCTCCAAAACAGTCACTAGCCCTAAATTCTTTCTCTCAGCTTCCCAAAAAAACCTAGAAAAATTAAGGCATCTTCTCTCAAATTTCTTTAAAAAAAAAACAACTAAAGCATCTTTTAAGTCTTTTGAACCTTCCAAACCCCTAGCAAATCAGTAGATCATTGGGTTCAAGAACCCAGTAGATCGTTGGGTTCCATCGAACCCACCCAGCAAATCTTTGAATTCGAACTCTATATTCTAGGAAGAAAGTCTCCAATCATAAGCAGCCATATGCAAATTTTTTCCCTCATAACCAATTTTTGCCAAATTCTCAATGAAAACAACCCACACAAACAAAATATTTATTAGCAAAATAATCAACTGTAATCCAAAAATATCCCTAAAATTCAAGCTTCTAAACATAAGGGGGCAAAAAAAAAAAAGAAATTGAACCTAGAAAATCACTGGGTTCTTGAGAACCCAACATATCACTGGGTTCGATTATCAAACCCAACAGATTTATTGGGTTTCGAAAAGGAGATGATTAAAAGAAGATGAGAGATGATGAAAGGAAAGAGATGATAAGGAGATGAGAAAAGGAGAGGACTAAAACCCAAGCCGACAAACAAGGATCCAAGGGAAGAAGATGAACAATGAAAGAGGTTGGAGATGAAAAGTAAGGGGTAACGAAAGGAGGAAAGAAAGAAAGTGATATGTTGTTGAAGATAAGGGTAAAAACGTAATTTTATCTTTATAATTTATCACATTGTTAGTCCTACGTGTCAAGATATTTAACATGTCATATTTTTCCCATCAAGTAACAGTTCACATAAGTCAATTTTTAACGGAAGGACCAAGTTGGGGTTAAAATGGTAAACAGTAGGGACTAAATTAGGGATTTTTTAGTTTAAGAACCAAATTAGGGGTCCGTACAATAGTTGGGGGACCAAAATGGGGTTTTAACCTTTTTAAATAACAAGTTAAATGGCGTAATTTTTTCAGGTTCCGTGGCATGCTGTCACAAATTTCAGAACCTGGATCTTTGTCCTCCTCCATGGCTACTCAATGGGAGTGGAGCTCTCTACCGATAATGTCATTGCGGAATATTTTTATGACAGGTTTAATCATAAACTCCACACCGACGGAGCAATAGCTGCAACTTTTGGCATGGCCAACCTTGTTGCCTGTCCCTTTGGTGGTTTTGCTTCTGATGCAGCGGCCAGATTGTTTGGCATGAGGGGAAGGCCATGGACTCTGTGGATCCTCCAAACCTTAGGAGGTTGCTTCTGCGTGCAAATTTACTTCCAGTAGCCATCCTGGCAATGATCCTTTTCTCGGTCGGAGCTCAGGCGGCCTGCGGAGCAACTTCTGGCATCATCCCATTTATTTCACGGTAGTCATTGGGAATCATATCGGGCATGACAGCTGCGGTGGGAACTTCGGATTGGGCCTGACCCAGTTGATATTCTTCTCCACTTCAAGATTCTCCACCGCAAAAGGTTTGACGTTGATGGGGGTGATGATCGTTGCCTGCACACTGCCGGTGACGCTGGTGCACTTTCCGCAGTGGGGCGGGATGTTTCTTCCTGCCTCAAAGGACGCAGTAAAGGGTACCGAAGAGTATTACTATGGTTCTGAATGGAATGAAGAGGAGAATACGAAAGGGCTGCATCATGGAAGTCTCAAGTTTGCCGAGAACAACCGGTCAGATCGTGGCCGTCGCGTTGCCTCCGTGCCACCTCCGCCTAATACACCATCAAATCATGTTTAATCCCAAACGTACGCATGCATAATTCGTTAAAAATATCAATACAAATTGAATAATATAAAAAGGTTTTACTGAATTATATATACATTTATACAGAATTATTAAGAAATTACCTTCTAATTAAAGCCTTCTGGATTCAAGAATCTTGGTCAACTAGTTGTATTTTTATTTACTCAGCTTGTATTAGAACCAAATATTGATGAATGCAGACTCAAAGAATGCTGGAGGCATCCTGAAATGATTCAGCTCAGTTAGGAGGGCCAAATGCACACTTGCAGAGAAACATGTTTGCCTATGATAAGGTGGAGGGAGAGGAAGAGGCATCTGGTTAGAATGTTTACCCTGCGGTGTATCGAGTAGCCATATTCTTTGATGCCAGTCTTGTCCGTTCAACTCTTTCTTCTGACAATTTCTTAAGCACATTTCAGTATTTCACCCTTACACTCAGCACATATACCAGGGCCCCAACAATCTATCGCATAGTTTCAAAGGAATCTGCAATTCAAGAAACAGCCTCCCTTGGATTGCAGGCCCAGGGAAGTAGTTAAGAAGAGTCGTACATTTCCTAATTCTGTAACACTCTATTGAAAAGCAATAACCTTTCTCATGTCCTTGAGAATGAAAATTCACCTCAGTTGCATTAGAAGTTTTACTTCTCCGACAAGAAGGGTAGCTGCTGCGCGCACTATAGTTGCAGTGATTGCCACATTAGCAGCTGTTTCAGGCAGAGCAAAAGACAATAGAGATAATTTTCTTCATTGTTCTTTTGATTTTTCATCAGTTTGGGAGCAAGCCTTAAATAAAGATTAGCAAAATTGCCTCCAATGCAATGCAACAACATTCTATGTACCCACAAACTTCCTAACTTAATTTTTTTTTTTTTATATCTTAGTTGCACAATAAAAAACAAGCGTCTCCCATCCGTTACCTATCCTAGTCACATGCTATGTGATTCAACTCATGACTTCTTTGTTCCAGTGAAAGGAAATTACCATTGAATTACTTAACTTGTTAACACTTCCTAACATAATTGAATGTACTCAAACCAGCATTAAATGCCATTGTAGGCCTAAATGGAACTGAAATATGCTAAAAATTATCTTAGGATTTGAAAATTATCACCGACCATATCTCTCCAATTAAGCATAGATCAATTACCATGAAATAATGCATATAGGTAGTAAGTCAGAAAAATGCAACTTGGGGGTGATCATTATCTCAAACAATTAGGCAAAAAATTCATGTTTCGACAAGGCACAGAGAAAATTGAAACTGAACTACCCAACAAGACTTGTCTTGGAAGAAGATTACAGGTGATGACAATCTTATTAAGAACTCTACTTAAATGAAAATTACAAATTTACAACATACAAATTAAATTAAGGTAATAAAATCCACACAATTAAATAGTGGTGAATATTGATGGATTAGGGTAGATCGTCTTTCACCTTAATAAGAATTCCTTTTTTGAAAAAAAAAAAAAAAATTGATAATGATGGTTAAAAATGGACTAGAAATCTAGCTATAGTGCCAGAAAACCAGACAAGGCTCTCAAGGCTAAATGTGTTATATGTATACATCCCAGATTATAAAGAAGACAAATGAAAAGCGATACCAGATCAGTGATTCAGAATAGCAGGACTCTATTTAGTGGCAAATAACCATATATGACCAAGTCACCCGACATGTCACTTTTTTATCCAGAAACTAGGCATCACTGATTTAAGATGATACCTGAGATGCCAGAGTAATCTAAGCATCACGATTCGAGAATTAATCCTCCTTTTTTACAGGTTTGTAAAGATTGCTATTTGAATTTTAATTGCACCTTGTTTGTGTCAAGGAAAGTTCTACAGGGTACAATCTTGTCATTAAATTGAATATTTGATTTTCTAGATTACCATTGATTGCATGTAATTAAAGTTTATATTATTTCTTTCCTTTTATTACTTATTTTCTTAGCAAAATGCCTTGTATACATTTGAATTCAAGTGTGAATAAGAGACAAGCAATTCAGCCTATCTTTTCTTTGCCTTGTTAGTGGTATCAAAGCATTTGTCTCTCATGAGATTTTGATCCACCATGGTAGACGAAACACCTCCCAAGACACCCAAAAATTCTGCAACATCAAACACTTCCTCCACCACCAATATCGTTGCCACTAACAAAATTATTGTTGTCACTGCCTCAATCGAACCTTCATCCATTAAGCACTTGATCATCTCATTCAATCCAACCCAATTCCCACTAAAACTTACGCTAAACAACTATCTCACTTGGAGAGAATAGATTACCTCCATGATGACTACCTACAGGTTGCTTCCCTTTCTCAAAGGCACAAAACCATGTCCTCCAGTCCCTGCAATTGCAGAAGAAATTCTAGATTCTCCCTTTGACCTTTGGGTAAGGCAAGATTAAGCCTTATGCCATGCCTTGCTTACCACCGTCTCAGATTCAATTGCCACAAGAATTGCCGCTGCTCCAACCTCAAATCAAGCCTGGATCTCGTTGGAAAAATTGTATGCAAATAGATCCATGGTGCGATATGTGATCTGGCAAGATCACCTTCATAATCTTTGTAGTGAAGGAAAAACGGTGACTGAATATTTAAACCTTGTTAAGTTGATCACCGATGAGCTTGAGAACATGCACTGGGCAGTATCTAATGAAGAACTTTCTGTTCATGTAATGAACGATCTCGGACCAGAGTTTCAAGAATTCTGTGCTGTCATGCGTGCCCTTGAAACACCTTTGTCATTTGAGGATTTTCAAGGTAGACTATTAGCACATGAGGAATCACTGCATCATGAGGAAAGGAGGCTTGAAACAATACCGGTTGTTGCTCATCATGCTTCTGTCGAGATGAGAAACTCAAGGGGACCAAATGCTTATTATTCACAATCTGGTTCAAATTTTCAAACTACTAGTTTTGTTACTAACCAGCCTATTTCTGCAGGTTTTAGCTCATCTTTTCAATAATCAATTCCTTATTCATGGCACAGGCACAACAAAAATAAGCCTAGGAATCAATATAACAAGAGAAGAAACAATAATTGGAGGCCCAACAATAACAAGAACTCTTTTGCTTGCCAACTTTGCAACCGGTCAGGCCATTTCGCAAATAATTGTCCTCATTATCATGTACAAGCACAAACACCAATGACAAATTTTGCATCTTATGGTGGCACCTCTCGCAATAACTAGCTGATTGATTTTGGGGCTAACAATCACATTACAAACAACTTGGCGACTCTTGCTTTGCATTCCAAATATGATGGACTCAATGAACTTCAGATTGGTGATGGTTCAGGCCTAGAGATCACACACATAGGTAATACAACCATACCAAATTCTTCTCTTCCCCTCAATAATGTATTATGCGTACCACAAGCCTTACGTAATCTTATCTCTGTGTCTCAACTTTGCAAAAACACTAATTCCTTTGTTGAATTTCATCCCAATTATTTTCAGGTGAAGGATCATCGCACAAGGGCGATTCTACTTCAAGGGCCAAACAAACATGGAGTTTACCAAATTCTTGACAAAGGAAAGTTTAATTCTCCACCAGTGGCATTAATGGGTGAAGATGTCTCAAATTTAAATTGGCATTCACATTTTGGGCATCCTTCTTTTAGAATTTTACAAAACATTATTCGTACTTTTCATTTACTAGTTCTTCCTAAAGATGCATTTGAGTCTTGTGAGTCACGTTTGTACTCTAAAAGTCACAAACAACCCTTTAGTTAGTCAACTATTCAGAGTCATGCTCCTCTTGATGTGATTTTCTTAGATGTTTTGGGTCTTGCTCCAATTTCTTCAGTTGATGAAAATAATTATTTCATACTTTTTATTTATCATTTTACGCGTTATATATGGATCTACCCATTAAAAAGAAAATATGATGTTTCCATAATATTCCCTAAGTTTAAGACTCTTGTGGAGAAACAATTTGGTACTAATATCAAATCATTTTATTCCGATGGGGGTGGTGAGTATGTTAATCTTTGTCACTATCTTGTTGATTATGGTATTTCTCATTTTACAACTCCACCTTACACTCCCAAACTTAATGGCATTAATTAGTGAATGACACAATCAACAAATTGTTAAAACTGCGTTCACACTAATGCACCAAGCTAACCTACCAACCCGTTTTTGCTCTTATATAGTCACTACTGCTATCTATCTTATCAATCGACTACCCTCTTCAACCATATCCTTTAAATCTCCATTTAAAAATTATTCCACATTAAACCTAATTATTTCAAATTGAGCATTTTTGGGTATGCATGTTATCCTTGGCTAAGGCCTTATAATAATAATAAACTCCAATCATGATCCCGTCAGTGTTTATTCTTAGGTTATTCAATAGAAAATCTTGGTTATAAATGTTTCGATCTTGAATCCAAAAAATTTTTTCACTCACAACAGGTTGTGTTCAATGAAAATTTTTTTCCTTTTAAAATAAATTATGTGTCCAAGTCTCATCCAATTAATATGGAATCTTGGTTAATGCTAAGCCAAATGCCAACTAATAATGAGACATGTTCGTCATCTAATTCACTGTCACAGCCTGAGAAATATGACTTGTCCCCCGCGACTATCTCACCTCAAGAAATCCACTTCTTTCCTTCCTCTTCATCGGCCCAAACTATATCCATTGCCTCAGGCCCATCAACACCACAACCCACCCATCACTCCAACCATAACCAATCCCATAGCCCAACAAAATCCAACCCATCCTCACCTCCATCTAAATCCCCAAATCCAAGTCTTCCCTATTCCAATTGTTCTCCACCCTCATCATCATCCGATAGCTCACTGGCCTCATGTGTTGCTTGCATTCCACAATCTATCACCTTGCCAAGTCTACCCAAGCAAGTTCCTCCTACCCGTACTCACTCGATGGTAACAAGATCTCAAAACTTAATCATCAAACCTAAACACTTGTTCCTTACCACCACAGCCGCTACCCGAAATCCGATAGAACCTTCGTGCATCTCTCAGGCTCTGAAAGATCCAAACTGGAAGCAGGCTATGTCTGATGAATTCACTACACTTGTCCATCAAGGCACTTGGGGTTTGGTCCCTCGGTCTCTTGATCAAAATGTGATTGGATCTAAATGGGTCTTTTGGTTGAAGTGTAAGGCTGATGGGAGTATAGAGTGTTACAAGGCACGTCTTGTAGCCAAAGGTTTCCATCAACAACCTGGCAACGATTATTCAGAAACCTTTAGCCCGATGATCAAATCGACAACTATCAAAATGATGCTCTCTATTTTTGTAAGTAGAAATTGGCCTCTTCAGCAATTAGATGTTAATAATGCCTTTCTAAATGGTACTCTTTGTTGGAAGAAAGTCCAACCCCATGTGTGAACCCATGGACTTTTTGTGTGGAAATTTGCTTCACCAACCTAGCTAGTGGTGGGCTAAGATTGCTTTGTTGAAATCATGCAAGATTGCATGTTGAGCCATTTAATGGGCAAAGAAAATCTTGGTCGGGTGGTAATGAGGCAAAGAAAAATGGTGCATGGGTAGTTGGAGTTTTCACTATAAATAACCATGCATGCAAAGGCAATGGGCAAGCAAGAGTAGGAGAAAGCAAGAGAAATTGAGGGAGAGCTCTTGTGAGAGAAAAGAAAGAGAGAAATTGTGAGAAATCCTTGTGTAGATTAATAGAGAGTATTAGGGAGAATTTGGGAGTTTTTATAGATTGAAGCTAGGGGTTGAGAGCTTCTTAAGTGAGAGAACTTCCAAATTATTGTACTCTTTTTCTTAATAGTGGATTTATTTTGTCTCTTTCCCGTGGATGTAGACTTGTTGAGAAGTGTACAAGTCGAACCACGTTAAATTATTGTCTCAATTTCTTTATCGCTTCCGTTTGTGTGGGATTGTGATGCTCGAAATTCCCAACACTCTTGATGAGAAATTATTTAAGCAACGACCCGTTGGTTTTGTTGACGAGAATTTTCCAGATCATGTTTATCAATTACGCAAATCATTGTATGGACTGAAACAAGCCCCTTGTGCCTAGTTTCAGGAATTGAAGGATTTTTTACTTACTTAAGGCCTTTGTTGTTCCAAGTCCAATCCCTTTATTTATTTTGAGGAAATCTGAGGTTGTTGTTTATTTCCTTGTCTATGTTGATGATATCTTGATCACCGGGAATTCTACACAGGTTGTTGATCAACTAGTATCTTCACTCAGTTCAGCATTTTCTTTGAAAGATCCTAGTCCTCTACATTTCTTTTTGGGGGTGGAAGCTATTACTACTTCTGCTGGTTTGTTTCTTAGCCAACATCAATACATTGGAGAAATTTTACAGAGCACAAATGTTTGAAGCTAATGTTGTTAGTACTCCCATGGCGTCTTTTTGCTCCTTGCAGCAGGCCACTGGCAATACGTTAACAGATCCTACACTCTATCGACAAATTGTTGGTGCCTTGCAATATTTGTCTTTCACTCACCCCGACATATATTTCATCGTCAACAAGCTTTCTCAATTTCTTCATTGTCCTATAGAGTTTCATTGGCAAGCTATTAAGTGAGTGTTACGGTATCTCAAAGGTACACAATATCATGGTTTACTTTTACGGCCTCAGCACAATTTGTCATTGCATGCCTTTGATCTTCATTTTGTTCGTGAGTTAGTTGAACAACAGATTCTTCGTGTGGCACATATTTCTTCCAAGGATCAATTAGCTGATGGTTCCACTAAACCTTATCTAGCACACGATTTTTGCTGTTGCGATCCAAGATTGGCATCGCTAATGGCTCCTCCATCTTGCGGGGGTGTGTCAAGGAAAGTTCTACATGATACAATCTTGTCATTAAACTGAAGATTTGATTCTCTAGATTACCATTAATTGCCTGTAATTAAAGTTTATATTATTTCTTTCCTTATATTGCTTATTTCCTAAGCAGAATGCCTTGTATATATTTGAATTCAAGTGTGAATAAGAGACAAGCAATTCAGCCTATCTAAACTGAAGATTTGATTCTTTAGATTACCATTGATTGCTTGTAATTAAAGTTTATATTATTTCTTTTCTTATATTACTTATTTCCTAAGCAGAATGCCTTGTATATATTTGAATTCAAGTGTGAATAAGAGACAAGCAATTCAGCCTATCTTTTCTTTGCCTTGTTAGTTTGCAATAGTTTTTCTTTTCTTTCTATAAGTGTTCATCTGGTAGCCACAGAAATAGCAAAGAAGTACATGCTTCGCTTAATTGAGGACTCCATCAAATTCTTCCACATGATAGAGAACTTGAAAACTATCAAATGACAAGAACTGATGAATCATACAACCAATATGTGGAGTTAGTTGTTAAGCATCATTTATGGTTTATGTTCTGCTTTCAGCAAGTTCTTATAAATCATCTAAATTTATGTATCTTTAAACTGTCATTACAATTTCAACCAAAATAATCCATATTGCTCATTCCCAATTTACGGAACCAAGTACAAACAAAAGATGGCCCAAATTTAAGACTTCACATATACCTTTGGTATAAATTAGGTATCATAATTGCAACCTGATTCCAGCAATGGGTTTAAGCAGATAAAGCTAAAACTAGAATTACTTCAATGGGGGAATCCATTTTCTGAAGATTAGTGTGCTTTTCAATTCTAAGGTAAAATCCACATTCTACTAAGAATTCAAATAAACGATTCCACTAAAATTTGGAATGGAGTTTGATAGAATCAACAAAAAGGTGCCTTTTTGAAATGCTGACAATAAAAGCATTGCCAACCTCCTAACTTCCTTCATTCACTTACCTACGGCTGGAACTTCAACTTCCAAAATTCAGAAGACCAAATGCTTTAATAAAAAGAGGTAGCAAATTTTAAATCACAGACAGGCACAAAAAGCGTTACAGAACTGTTCTTTCGCCAAAACCACCCTCCAACTAACATTAATTCTAGCTATGCCCATTGTTGTAGTTCTCTAATTCCACAATTAGAAACATTACTAGTTTCAAAAATCAAACGCAAGCAACGATCTTTAAAAGAATAACAATGAGGAGTTCAATTTTTCTTAAACAAGATTTTGAATTCAAATCTTGTAAATGAAAAAACAAAAGGTACTGAGAGAACTTTTCTTTTGTAGGATCCGATGTTATTTAATTTTAAATTAATCAAGATCTAAGATAATTATTAAATATCGAGAGGTTAATATAAAAAAAAATAATGAATGGTGTGTAGTGGCTTTTAACCAAAATTACAAGAAACCCACTTTCCAAATCACCCATAAAACCCAATTCCAACTTTTACTAATGGGTTTCAATTTTTTTCAACAATAATTATATTGCATTTCATCAGTTACAACTACCCTCAATTAAGTTTCATAAAGCGTGTAACTTTATATTCGCAATAAAGATAAATTAATATGATGGACGGAAAGGCTTGAACTTGTACTTGTAAATACATGGATTAAAGAGAAGGATGCTAACCCTAGAGAGTGAATTGCAATATCCATTCGAAAAATTACGCCTTTGCCCCCCTCCCGCTTGCAGTTATAGGCAACAGAATAAACTGTTTTTAGTCTAAGTTCCCTTATCTTTGCTAAAGGGAAAATTTTTAGATACGCCCTTGATGATCAAACACAATTTCAGACTTTTCAATCAAGAACACAAGGTTCTAAATGCAAGGTTTTAAGGTTGTGAGAAAATTTTTAGTCCAATTAATGTAGGAGATAGCATTATAGATTTGGGAAGAGAAGAGGTATAGCCTATTTTGATGTTAATAAAAAAAAAAAAGGTACCATTCAATGGTAATATTGAATAAGTTGAAATAATTTTAATGGGTTTAATTAATCTTTAAAAAGAATTAAAATTAAATTCTATAAGTTGAAATCACCTTCTTCTTTTTTTTTTTTTGGGTAAGAAGTTGAAATCACTTTATTACCTTATAAAATGCTTTTATAATCTTATAACAAAAATTTAAACGTATGCTGCCTCTCACAAACTTAAAACTATTTATTTTAATACTAAAAAATATTAAAAACATAAAATCACGTGCTAAGATGAAAAGAAAGAAAGAAAAAAAAAAAGTTGCACTCAATTCAAATATGGAGAAAAGAGGATTTGTTTTAATATGATCCCTAAATTTGAAGCAAGAAATTTTACCATACATGATTAGTTGAGATTAACTACAGAAAATTAAGCATTCATATTCTCCAAATTATCGTTTAGATATTGAGATTGCATTTTCTGTGCTCTGAGACTGGACCAACCACCATCTTCACCTAGTGTCAATCAAAACATTTTCAGAAGAAACGCAGACCAATCAGTACGGAACTCATTACTCAATTCAACTAAAACTTTGTACTGGCATTTACCATTTCCATCTCTCTGAATCTGGGTTAACCATGTGGCTTTGGGTCTTTTATGCCACATGGAATGCATACAATGATGTTGGTCGGAACTAGACATTGGCAATAATAAAGGGTAGCTGACAGGTAGATTCTTAGGCCATCATCTTAGATATATTGGTCAGCATTAGGTAAGCAGTAGGTCAGCCTTCATATATATATATATATATATATAGAGACACACATGTGAACACTAAGTATTTCATGGATGAGTGTATTGACATTGGTCTCTTCTTCATTAAATGATTTTTATTTCATAATTTTTATCAATTTATATGGTAAAACAAAATTCTCATATGTTTATATATATGGCTAAATACTATTTTTTTTATCCTTGTTGATATATTTTTTTTATTAATGATAAGATTTTTTAAAGTTAATTTTTATGTATTAAAATTTTTTTAAAATAATTTTAAGAATACATCATTTACGCATTAAGCCTTTTGGACCAAGTGGCAATAACCACCACCCATGGTGCATTCGCCCCTCCCCCAAGGCTGGAGTTCGAACCCAGTTTCTTGTAAAATTCGTTCAAAAAAAAAAAAAACATCATTTACATTAACTTAATACATTTTAAAAAATTAATTTTCTTATATAACTTTAAAATTTTAAACCTTAAATATAAATAATAAAATAACATTTATTTATTAATAAATTCAAAAATAAAAAACATTATTCCTTGTTGATATGATATTATTAACTCCTCTCAACTACTGGAATTCAGTAAAAAAATATTGAACGTGGGATGCAGAAGCTTCCCCCCCAACAACCCCCCCCCCCTGGATTTTGAAGAAAAGACGCAAGAGATTTTGCCTTGATTGCAAGAGCAGAAATTCACGGGCATCACATATCCACCACAGTAAAGAAGAAAGAAAAGAACACCCACCTCACCAACTCACCTCCACCTCTACTCCTCAAGAAATAATGTCACGCTAGCCATGAGGCTGTGTCTATCTGATTTTACTCAGCTAGCTACTCACGAGACCATTTAATTTAACTCAACGCTCTTTCCCAACCTCTTTACAAACTCTTCCCCCATATAACCCCTTCAAAACCTCTGCACCCTCAAGCGATTTATATCAAACTAGAAAAAATGCCTGCCTCATTGTTCTGTTTCTTCCTAGTCCTAATGTTCTCTTCCTCATTACCTGTTTCTATGGCTATCCGTGACATCCCATCAAGCGTTCCAAGCACGATGAGGCCTGCATCAGTGGATTATATGAAGATGGATAATGATGAGGTGACTCAAGGGCACCAGGTTTTTCATGACAGAGAAGTAAAGGGCTGCCTTCCCAAAGGGTACAGGCGTTCATCAGCTCCGAGCCGCTATGTTAATTATCAACCTCTTGGGTCATGTGTTTCCAAGAATGACCCAAGAAAGCCTTAATCATTTGTTGAGGAATTGAGATGATATTGAGAAGGGGATAGATTATGAGGTGAAGTTTGTAATATATGTATGATCTCTGTTTTTTTATTTTTCTTTTCAGTTTTTGGAATCCTAGAGTTGATGTTTTCTTTCCAATCATATTAGTAGTAGAATTTTGACAATTTATTCTTATGTGGATTCAGTCATGAACTTGTCTAAATTCTAAAATAATTTCCCCTAGAACAGAGGCTCCATTTTCATCCAATGGAGCAAATTAACCGACCTCGGCTCTCTTTAACTTTGTTTTTGGCTCAATATTGGACTGCAACTTGATTCGTGCTCAAAAGCTTAATTTTAAATTATTAATATTAGTTGATCTATATATATATATTTGAACATTTTGACACGGGACGGGTTCAAAATCCGCGCAGGGGAGGGGGAATGCACGTAGCAAGCTGACTAATATCAGTGTGCCTAGAGGAAGCTGGCAAATACCTGTGGGCCTCTAGGCCCAGGTGCAGTTGATCTATATATATTTATATATTAATTACTCTTATATTTTCATTTTAATATGAGATTTAAAGGATTACAATCTCATTCACTTTAACACTTGATGTTTTCATCAAATTTAATTACAATTATAACAAGACCTATTAAGTCTCACAAGTATAGAATTCATATTAAAACTTATTGAATCACAAGTATAGAATCTATTTCAAATAATGTAAAATTTACACTATTATTGATCATGATGACCGGCATGAATACATATACACAAGAGTTGGTAACTCTAATATCAACTAAAATGACTTTAGTTGAAACTCTCATTAACCTAAAAACTCTTTCAATTAAGGATTATGAATTTTTAAAAATTGAAGTTCAAGTTGTTTTGTTTGTTTGTTTTTTTTTTTTTTTTTTTTCTTACACAGCTAAAGTTCAAATTGCTAATAGTTTTTAGCCTATATAATTATATATCAATTACACTTATACATCCATATGTAGTAGGCGCTTGCCTGCCACCCCAACCCAGCCGTTAGATTTTGATTCCAATGGCTGTTAATCTTTTTGTTTTCGTTTATTTATTTATTTTTTTATATATATATTTTTAATTAAAATTTTTTATTTAAATTTATAAAATGTGATTGAAATAAAATAAAGTGATGTGATTTTTTAAAAAGCTTTATTTTAAGAATATATATTGGAGGGAGGTGGTTTCGTTATATATATTTGACAGTTAAATATATAAAAGAATAAATTTATATAAAATAATATTAATTTTGATAATACAGACTAAAATGAGTTTTTATGATGTTCTTGTTGGAGAAATAAGGGGTTAGAAATGAGATCATTAGATCATTGGCTTTCAAGGTGTGTTGCAAATGCTACTTTCTTTTAGGTTAATTTCATCTCCCACCAGATTTGGTATGTAAAAAGGGTAACCCGAAATGTCAATAAGATACAATGAAGTGCTTTGTTGATCTCGCCTTTGCACTAGCAAGATCAACCACTGAACCATCCTTTAGAAAACGACAAAACAATAGTTTTTGTATAGAGATTTCTCAAGCAATCATAATCCAAAAAGGGGTTATTTTATTTAGATATTTTTGGGTTCAAAAAAACTCCACTAGAGAAAAAGAGATAACTTCATATTTATAGGGCAAAATATATGTTGGAATAGACGCTTCTTTTGAAGATGTCTATTGAAAACAAACATTTCTTTTCAATTTTTATCCGTTGAAAACTCTTCCAAAAGTCATTTAGTTTGATTTGAATTCCAACTTACGTGTTTCCTTGCTTTTCAAAGTTATCCACTCTCTTTAGAAACTTATCTGAATTTTATCTCTTATTCTGGCGTAAATAGTTTGAATCAGATAAATGTGATTCGAATTAAAATCGTAAATTTTCGGATTCTGGTTTTATGTAAATGGTTGGAATCATATAATTATGATTCGAACCAAAGTTACATTTTCTCAAATGCATTCTGTGCAATTGCTTTGAACCAACTTTTTGTAATTCGAACCCAAATTCTAGAAATATTTTGAAAATTATTCAACAGTTCTTTATTGTACATTTATAATGTTAATTGCAATCTTAAATCTCTCATATCCAAAAGAAAAAAAAGTTAAGATAATAATACAAAAATTTTTTATTTTTTATTTAAAGATATATATTTTTTTACTTTTTAAATTAGATAATAATTTTTTATTTTTTAAATATAAATAATATTTTATATTTTTTTCAAATTAAAGATATTAACTTTCCTATATTTCTATTTAAGAATTTTGTTAAATAACAATAATAACGTAGTAAACTATAATCTTAATTGAATAAGATAAAATTTATATTCTTAAATAAAAAAAAATAAAATTTATATTTTTATCCACATATTTTCACCCAAAGCTAATGTTGTGTTGTCTTTGTCTCAAAATGACAAAGATCCATCGGAAAGCAATCAATCTTGCAGTGTTCATGTCAGGTTCCACAGAAGAAGAGGATTTCAATCTTGAGAAGCACGTGAAGTAAGCAATGAAACAGGGCCTACAAAGCCAATGCCAATTTAATGGACAAACGAAGGCTGATTCACGCAACTTGAATTCGAATTTCAATTACCCTTGTTAAAAGTTTCAAACATGAATCCAGTCCCAGGCCATGTTTTCCCAAAGGCAAAAATCTGTACAACGCTAGAAAACTTTTTGTTCATTTATAACTTCAGAGTCCAGACATATTCCCATACCATTTATAACCCCAAACATGAATCTCATGACTGCTTAACCTTCACTTCGATCATTCAATTCAACAAAGCTACCAACCTTGCATCCACTGAGATTTAAGAGGAAGCCTATTTGAATTTGAGTCTAAATTACCAGATAAAATCATCAATGTAAGAGAACTGGAAGCTGAAGATTAATGTGTCAAGCTCAAATCCCAAAATAGCATAAACAGTGACACATAGGAGGAGTCGAGAGGAGTTAGCTAAAAGAAGTCATTACATTTTAAGAAAGATGTTTCCTGGAAACTTAATTTAACTATATAGATCATCTTCATCAGCCCCACCAGCAGAAGTTGAAAATGGATCAGATGCTGTGGCTGCAGCCCCGGTTCCACTCTCTGGAAACCTAAATTCAGTTCCGAAACCCCTAGACTGCTGCAAGGTCTGTGCAAACGCCTGGTATTTACGAATGTCAGCATCACTGACACTCCTACGAGCAAACTTCATGGACTCCTCAAAATGAGCAGCCTTAATCTCTGCAACTTCGTCCTCCACATCCTCATCCATAGCTTCAGGATTCTCACTTCTCCTTTTCTCTTTCTCTATGTCCTGTGGGAATTCCAGATTTTTTTAAAGTCACTTCTGCTATATCTTAAAAGAACAATGTAGAAGAAACTTGCAATTACCATCATCTTGTATTTATTCATTATTTGAGGTTGAGCAAGCAGAGAGACTAGAGGTTCCATTTTAAAATGGCAGTAATAAGCTTAAACAAACAATAAACGCATAAACTTACCTTCTCTATGTTCTCTCTAATGGCATACTTGCATGCTCGCTGGCAAATCTCAGTGATATCAGCACCACTAAAACCTTGAGTGTACCGGGCCAATGCTCTCAAATCAACATCCTTAGCAACGGGTGACTTTCTCAAACAAGATTTGAAGATCTGATATCGTGATTCCTCATCTGGAAGAGGAATATAGATCAACTGGTCAAGACGGCCAGGCCGCAACAGTGCCGGATCAATTATGTCAGGCCTGTTGGTGGCCCCAATTATGAAAACAGTCTTTTTTGCGTTCATGCCATCCATTTCGGTAAGGAGTTGATTTAGAACTCGATCAGCTGCTCCACCTGCATCACCAACACTGCTTCCCCTCTGCAACAATTAAGGTAAAATATTATAATACTATTTTTTAAAGCAACTATTGAGAGAATAAAACACTAAGGAACAGAAGTGCAACCTGAGTAGCAATAGAATCGAGCTCATCAAAGAAAAGCACACAAGGTGCAGACTGCCGGGCCTTGTCAAATATTTCTCTAACATTGGCTTCACTCTCACCAAACCACATGGTGAGCAGTTCAGGCCCTTTAACACTGATAAAGTTTGCTTGGCACTCATTTGCAATAGCCTTAGCCAGAAGAGTTTTCCCACATCCAGGAGGGCCATAGAAAAGTACTCCCTTTGAAGGTGACATCCCAAATTTCTCAAACTTCTCAGGGTGCTCCACTGGATATTGGACAGTCTACAAATCCAACGAAAGGCATACACAAAATGAATGTTAGCAAAAAAGCAGGAAGCTAGTACAAGAAGAAAGTTTAAAAATCTATGCAACAATAACAATCACCTCTTGGAGTTCCCTCTTAACATTCTCAAGGCCTCCAATGTCATCCCATGAAACATTGGGCACTTCAACCACCTGGAAAACCAAAAGGTAAGCAATTTGAATATGATAGAGTTGAATTCAAGGCATGCTCCAAATCATGATGGGAGCCCAAAGGAAATCGAGTAACTCACTGTTTCACGCAAAGCAGAAGGGTTGC